GCACCCTGATGGGCTACGCATTCTCCAACGCGCCTAGGCATGCTTCTGATCAGGTGGTCAATGTCCTCCTGTGATATCTCATTCCAGGCAACCACCAACTCCTCTCGAAGTGCTTCTAGAGTCTGAGGAGGACGTTGCAAATTGAGCAATCTCCTACCCATCATATCCCACACGTGCTCAATTGGGGATAATTCGGGAGATCTTGGTGGCCATGGTAACAATGTGACATCATTATGTTGAAAGAAGTCTATCGTGACTCTTGCAACATGTGGTCGGGCATTATCTTGTTGGAAAGTTGGATCTGCCCGGGTGTCAAGATAGGGTAAAAGATGGGGTTCTAGAACTTCGTGGATATAACGCTGCGCGTTCATGTTACCTCTGATGAAGATTAAAGGTGACCTGGAACCATAAGCTATAGCACCCCAAACCGTAACTCCAACAGTGTGATGAACATGTCTTTCAACAAAAAACTGTGGACTCCTCCTTTCACCACGTCGCCTTCTAACCCTGGCACGACCATCGTGCATGCCTAAACAAAATCGAGACTCGTCACTAAAGACAATATTGTTCCATTCCTGATCCCAGAGTTACCGTTGTCTGCACCACTCAAGGCGATTACGTCGGTGTTCTCGAGTTAAAGGGAGGACCCAGTGTGGCCGGTATGAAAACAAGCCAAAACTTCTCATTCGTCGCTAAACACTTCGCATGCCAATAGGTCTTCCGTGTTCTGCAAACCATTCATTTGCAATGGACCTGGTAGTGGATCTAATAATCTTAGGCGGCGATCTTCATGGTCTGTTGTTCTACGGCGGCGTCCAGTGCCCCTTGCTCTTTGCGTACGGCCTTCTCGAAGCCATGCCTGACAACACCTAACCACAGTGTCTACACTTCTTTGCACTCTAACTGCAATTGCCCGAAAAGAAAGTCCAGCTTCCCGAAGTCCCACTATACGGCCCCTATCAAACTCACTAAGTTGACGAAATCGTACAGGTCTCCGTACTCCGTAAAGGATGTCAAGAACCAAAATCCGCCATAATAATAAAACCATTTAAACTGGGTCTTCGGATTTATATGTCACTTAGTATACATACTTCTTTGATATAAATTTTCCTCCAAGTTTCTTCCAACAATCTTGTTTTGTTTTTTGAATGTCGCATGTTTCAGTATACAAGTTATTCATGTAGAGACATTTGAACTTATTTGTTTACTCGTTGCATATTGTTACTATTGTTATATTAAGAGTAAATAAATATCTACTGCTACTACTGCTACTGCTACCCTGTATATCGAACGTGTATATCGTATAATGCACCAACACTTTATCAGAATTAACTTCGTTACATTCTTGTACTTATTTTCCATGAGCAGCGAACTTAATTGTAGCTACATAGATGTGGAGAGTCTGTGAGTGTGTTCCTCTTCCTCTCATTCGCGTCGAGTAGTAGATTCCCAATTAATTGCTATCTTTCCCCTCTCAACTACGAAAGCCGCGAGATAAAGCATATATTCCATCGATATACTCCGGCGCTATATTCGGAAGTTACTTGGAATTGGCTTTCGAACAGATTATAGTTTTAAAACGAATGCCATTAGGGTTTCTTCGAGCAATTTTGATCATTAGGCATAGTATAGAAGTAGGAAATGTATTTTTTGCTATGTAAAAAAAGCAAAAGAATGCAATTGAGCTTACACTTCCCAATATTTATACAGGCTGTGTCAAAATGTGTGCTCATTCTATCGGATTCCTACAATACGCTAAAATATAATGTGATAAATTCGAGTGAATTAATTCTATACTTTCCATGTTTTAAACATAAACCGAACCAAAGCATGAACCAAAACTCAAACCAAATCCTAAACTTAAGCCTAAACCAAAATACAAACTAAAGCTTAAATTAAAACCCAAGCCACAGCCTAATTTTGAGCCTAAACCTAAACCCAAATCAAAACAAACCAAAACCCAAACAAAGTCTAAACGAAAACGCAAACCTAAACAAAAAGGTTACACCAAAATCCAAACCAAAGTCTAAACCAAAACATAAATCCAAAGGCTAAACCAGAAGCAAAAAACTAAACCAGCACCTAAACCAAGATACAAAACAATATCTAAACCAGGGCTTAAAGCAAAACTCAAACCAAAACCCAAATGGTTTTGGCTCCAGTTTGGGTTGTTAGGTTAAAAGGCTAAACCAGAAGCAAAAAAGCTGAACAATCACCTAAACCAAGACACAAAACAAAGTCTCAACCAAGGCCTAAACCAAAACCCAAATGGTTTTGGTTTCAGTTTGTGTTGTTGGTTAGGCTTTGTAATCAAAGGTTACACCAAAACCCAAACCAAAACTCAATTTCAAATCCAAAGGTTAAACCAGAAGCAAAAAGCTAAACCAAGACACAAAACAAAGTCTAAACCAAAACGCAAAGCTAAACCAAGACACAAAACAAAGTCTAAACCAAAACGCAAACCTAAACGAAAAGGTTACAACCAAAATCCAAACCAAAATGTAAACCAAAACATAAATCCAAAGGCTAAACCAGAAGCAATAGAAGTAAACCAGCACCTAAACCAAGAAACAAAACAATGTCTAAACCAGGGCTTAAAGCAAAACCCAAACCAAAACCCAAACAAAGTCTAAACCAAAACGCAAACCTAAACGAAAAGGTTACACCAAAATACAAACCAAAGTCTAAACCGAAACATAAATCCAAAGGCTAAACCAGAAGCAATAAAGCTAAACCAGCACCTAAACAAAGAAACAAAACAATGTCTAAACCAGGGCTTAAAGCAAAATTCAAACCAAAACCCAAACAGTTTTGGCTTCAGTTTGGGTTGTTAGGTTAAAAGGCTAAACCAGAAGCAAAAAAACTAAACCATCACCTAAACCAAGACACAAAACAAAGTCTAAACAAAGGCCTAAACCAAAACCCAAATGGTTTTGGTTTCGGTTTGTGTTGTTGGTTAGGCTTTGTAATCAAAGGTTACACCAAAACCCAAACCAAAACGCAAATTCAAATCCAAAGGTTAAACCAGAAGCAAAAAACCAAACCAATACACAAAACAAAGTCTAAACCAAAACCTAAACCTAAACGAAAAGGTCACACCAAAATCCAAACCAAAGTGTAAACCAAAACATAAATCCAAAGGCTAAACCAGAAGCAAACAGACTAAACCAGCACCTAAACCAAGAAACAAAACAATGTCTAAACCAGGGCTTAACGCAAAACTCAAACCAAAACCCAAACGGTTTTGGCTTCAGTTTGGGTTGTTAGGTTAAAAGGCTAAACCAGAAGCAAAAAAACTAAACCATCACCTAAACCAAGACACAAAACAAAGTCTAAACTAAGGCCTAAACCAAAACCCAAATGGTTTTGGTTTCAGTTTGGGTTGTTGGTTAGGCTTTGTAATCAAAGGTTACACCAAAATCCAAACCAAAGCGCCAATTCAAATAAAAAGGTTAAACCAGAAGCAAAAAGCTAAACCAATACACAAAACAAAGTCTAAACCAAAACCCAAACCTAAACGAAAAGGTTACACCAAAATCCAAACCAAAGTGTAAACCAAAACATAAATCCAAAGGCTAAACCAGAAGCAAACAGACTAAACTAGCACCTAAACCAAGAAACAAAACAATGTCTAAACCAGGGCTTAAAGCAAAATCCAAACCAAAACCCAAACAAAGTCAAAAAACCAAAACGCAAACCTAAACGAAAAGGTTACACCAAAATCCAAACCAAAGTCTAAACCAAAACATAAATCCAAAGGCTAAACCAGAAGCAATAAAACTAAACCAGCACCTAAACAAAGAAACAAAACAATGTCTAAACCAGGGCTTAAAGCAAAACTCAAGCCAAAACCCAAATGGTTTTGGCTTCAGTTTGGGTTGTTAGGCTAAAAGGCTAAACCAGAAGCAAAAAACTAAACCATCACCTAAATCAAGACACAAAAAAAGTCTAAACCAAGGCCTAAACCAAAACCCAAATGGTTTTGGTTTCAGTTGGTTGTTGGTTAGGCTTTGTAATCAAAGGTTACACCAAAACCCAAACCAAAACGCAAACTTAAATCCAAAGGTTAAACCAGAAGCAAAAAGTTAAACCAATACACAAAACAAAGTCTAAACTAAAACCCAAACCTAAACGAAAAGGTTACACCAAAATCCAAACCAAAGTGTAAACCAAAACATAAATCCAAAGGCTAAACCAGAAGCAAACAGACTAAGCCAGCACCTAAACCAAGAAACAAAACAATGTCTAAACCAGGGCTTAAAGCAAAACCCAAAACAAAACCCAAACAAAGTCTAAACCAAAACGCAAACCTAAACGAAAAGGTTACACCAAAAATCCAAACCAAAGTGTAAACCAAAACATAAATCCAAAGGCTAAACCAGAAGAAAAAAACTAAACCAGCACCTAAACCAAGAAACAAAACAATATCTAAACCAGGGCTTAAAGCAATAAATCGAAACCAAAACCAAACGGTTTTGGTTTCAGTTTGGGTTGTTGGTTAGGCTTTGTAACCCAAAGTTTACACTAAAACTCGAACCAAAACGCAAATTCAAATCCAAAGGCTGAGCCAGAAGCAAAAAAACTAAAGCAGCACCCTAAATCAAGACACAGAACAAAGTCTAAACCAAGGCTTAAGCCAAAACTCAAATAGTTTTGGTTTCAGTGTGGGTTGTTGATTGAGCTTTGTTGTCGTTTTCAGAATTCTATTCAAAAGATTGGCCAGTCATTTGGCACACTATTTAGCAACACAGCTGAGCCTATAATGTGGAATGTGGGTGGAATTCCACGACAGTATACCAGTTTTATTATTTTGTGTGACAAATAGTTCTAAGACCGCAAAAACTTTTGTCTTTCATTTACATCATAGATACTCCTGAATGCTTAAAAAATGTACACATCAACTTTTCTTTGGGACTATCATGTTTAACGACATCGCCGTGGGACAGAAGTTGATAAGACGTGTCGCTGAATTGATTTACATGGATTTTGTCTTGTTTCAGACGTGTCAACGTAACTTTTCCATGGTACATTCAGCAACGAAATTGCCCAGAAGGCATGGACGTACCATCCGAGTACATAGTGTTCTGCAAACTGGTCGGCAACCGTTTTCGCGTCGTCTCGCTGGCGAAATGGGACGAAGAGTCAGATGAAAGGGTGTGGCTCGCTTTAGGTAAGTCGATGGAGTACTTTAAAGTTCTTTTGCCATGTTATTGGGTCGGTAAATCAAATACGAGCGTTAAACTAAGTGATACGTAACTCAACAGAGTAAACGCTGTACAGGGTGTACAAGATATTACGGGGTATGTCACTTACCACTAAAGATAGAGAGTTGAGGTTTCTTGCAACACTGTGTTACATTTTTGATGTTCGTGAAACAAATTTTATCAAAAGTTCCCCGAGTCTACCTCCCACCCTGACATTCCGAGAGTGGGTTGAGCTTCGGTCCGGAATTCTTAGTACTCTAGAGATCCATCACCATCAATTTGTATTGTATTTGTATTTATATTCAACCACTGCAGTTAGATTTTATTTTGTAATTATTTTCATTGAGTATTATCCTCGTAGTTTTATTTTGCCGGACTTGTGCATGCGATGAGCCTGTTTCAATTCACCCCGATCTGTGTCATTCTAAGTACTCGAAAACAATTCCGCGAACATGAGTATGCGTGTTGCGTTATGTGCGTTTCAATCGGTTCAGAAACGAACTCGGAGTGAAAATCAATATCGGCGATCGAACATTATGGAAACAACGGCTCAAAACGGGGTGAGAACTGGCTTTTAATTTCCTGTTATGGTGCTCAAGCTCCGGAAATATTTTCATATCTACTTCGTTGGAATATGGATCAGACAGGGTGCGCTTAGTATAATGGCCGATATCGGCATTCCACATTTCAAGTTATAAAGATAAAAATAAGAGAAGTGTTTAACTATGAAGGATTTGGTTCTACAACTATATATATCCGCAATAGTTACTATAGTTGAATGTTGCGTTCAAGGTATTGAATTGCTGCTGGGTTATTGGCACTTTTAACATACCCCCACAAAAAATAGTCTGTTCCCGTACATTTATTTATCTCAATCGAGTATCGATACGTGCTACGCGGTTCCCCGATGGGCGAGCACTGTCAACGGTGGTCGTACGCGACAGTCGGCAATCGCTTCCGCGCTGCTGCGGACTGCGTGCACCGCCTATAACTTAAGAAGTACTCCTCGGATTTAGATGAAATGCTTACACAATGTTACTACTAAATAAGCCTTAGACGAAAAAAGTAAGAATTCTCCAAACCCCGATTATCCTAACCTTTTTTAAAAAAAAATTAGGGCTAGAGAACCTTGGGGGTAGGGGTTGTAAATTAGACCTGAAAACTATTCTCGTGGGACGGATCGCGTACCTATCGGCCGCGGCTGCTGCTGGTGTCGCATCGTGCACCGACCGCGATAAGAGTCTGGGATGAAATCAAACGGAACATCATAGTGTTTTCTTTGCTCTGACCGTGCTACCACGTTGCCACTTCAGCCCGAGTTATATATCTGGAAGAGGGGACGTTTCCAGATGCAGGGCAGGGCGTGGAAAGAATGTTTATGGATTAATAATTGTATGGACCTGTTTGACTGACTTTTTTCTGATGAGTCTTGTTTGTGGTGAACATATTTCTTTATGTACTATCTCTTTTATTATATTCCCTTTCACGAACAAGGGATAATATTTTTTGACAGACGGGTCCAAAACCGATAAATACAAAAACGATCCAGCACCTTCCTACATCCACCCTTTACAAAGCACCAATTAGACCCTCCCAGCATCCTCTTTACGAAGAAGGGAGAAGCAGCATTAAGCTGTAACCTGGTAGCAGCAGACACCCCCCCCCCCCCCCCACCTCCCGAATTGTCGCTCCTTCCGCCCTATCAGGTCATGTTAACTACCCTAATTGAATAATTCAAGCCCTGGGGTCGAAAGGGATACCCTGTCATTTGTCGCAGCTCAAACGGACCAGCTTCAAACGATTCCCGACTCTCTCCATTAAGAGAGGCATTCAAATGCGCCGTATAGCGAGAGCCAACTAAATATTAATTCAGTATACATTGATAAAGATCGCAATACCAGCGTATACAGGGTGTCCCATGATAGAGTGACACGGAAGGTAGACTAGCTGCAGATCAATCAGATAAAATCATTAAAAAGCATTAAACAGCTTGTTCTTAAGGTCACTTGCCGACTCAGTCTGGTACATCTTTTTACAGTAATTAATCAAGCTTTAGTAAAGGTCTTCGCATGCGAAATGTAATAATTTAGTTTTTTTTTTAGCATACCGTGCTAGTTTTCAATGAAATGAATACTTGGTTGTCTGAGCGAACTATTAATTGTAGCCCAGGAAAAAAATCATAACTTAGGAGCTCTCTTGATATGCGATTTTACTGATTCAAGATCATCTACTTGGTGTCTTTTCCTATAAACCTCTTGCAGATTAAGCACCTACTTGATGACTGGCTCTACCAAAAAGTTCATAGATATTGCTCGTTTCCAAACATTCATTCATATACTTGCCGTTCACCAGAACCATTATGGCACCTTAGATAGAACCATTATGGTTTTTTAATATCCATACATCCATAAAGTTGAATATTTTTCCTTGTTCAGGAACTTAACAAACATCCACACTATATTCACAGCGATTAAGAAATACCCAAATGTATGTAGTAGAGCTACCAGCCAACCTAAAACCTGCAGAAGAACTAGAAATTTGCAATATTTTTCTTTTTTCACTGAGTACATATTCTGGGTTATATTTATATTAGACGTTATTTGAATCACAAAACATATACACTGATTTGAATAACAGCTGATCCGTCAACACTTCGTCCCAGTGGAGCAAACTCTACCAACTGTGGAAATAAACTTTATTAATTCCAAGTCTTATTTTTGCTTTACTGTGCCTGCTTAGATATCCAAATACGGCCTGGAATTATTAGCGCCTGGCTATTTTACGCCTTCAATAACTCCTATTTTAGATCTCTCCTTATTGTGTTTTTTCCACGCATTCATTGTAGAAAGAAAAATATGTTATCGAATATCGATACCGTATACCATGCAGCAGCACGCCCACTTTGACAGATTGCAGAATGATGTGAAGGTGACAATCGTTATGTGTTTTTGTTTTTATCTGAAATAGGCAAGTAGGCTTTGTGTCCATAATATTAATGTTGGTGAAATCGGCCCGTAATCTATTTCCCATACAATGTTCACACTTCAGAAAACGCAAATTGTATATTCAAATGCCCCTCTTAAATAGAACTCTTCGAGCGATTTTCCTTCTTTAATGAGTGGCATGGGAGAGTTTTCTCGCAAACGTCGGCATTTCACTCTATAGCAGGTCATTAGATGCCATTTTCGCAGTAGAGGACGGAATTGTGCTGACGTAGGAATGCCTTTACAAGGAATGACAGGGTATGTTCCTGAAGTCAGCCATTAAGTTACATCAAACTTTTTATCCCCTTTTAATAGTTGTCGCAGCTTAATAACATACCTGGAAGAATAATGTCGCGAATTTTAATGCCGTGCTACTTATATCGCAGTTTTAGTACGATTGCATAGTTAACAACAAACTCATCGCAAAGGGATTCAACAACTTCACTTGTGATAAGCTACATTTTTTTACTTGATCCTTACACTAATGTCAAAGCACCAGCTTCATCGGTGCTCCAGGATTTCAATAGGTACATACAGGGTACGGCAGAGAGGACGGACGTTTTTGGGATGGGTAGTACTCTCCGCCTCCGTTTGACTCGTGAGATCCTAGCATTATTTTACGAGTTGTCGCTATGGAGCCTTGGACGGTGGAGCGAAATAATGAGTCAGTCATCGTCGTACAGCGTGAGTTTCGTCGCCATTTCAACATTCATCGCAATAGGGCTGTTCCCTCTCGAAACACCGTCCTTCGTTGGGTTGAATCGCTTCGCAGGCGTGGTGAACTGATCAACAGAAGACCAAGAGGAGCGCCGCGAACAGTTCGAACTCCTGAAAATGTTGAACGCGTTCGACAGGTCTCTCTTCGCAGTGCGACTCGATCTGCCCGGAAACATGCTGCTGTACTTCGCCTTAGTGATCGTTCGGTAAGGCGAATTTTGCATATGGATCTCCGCTTTCACCGCTACAAATTGGCCATTGTGCAACAGTTACAGCCCGGAGATTATGCACAACGAATGAACTTCGCACGTGAGATGGAAGCACTGATCGATCAAAATGAGAACCTCAAGGCTAGAGTATACGCGAACAAGCCCCGTACTCTGGACGAATTGAAGGGCGAAATTCGCGTGGATGTCGCCCAAGTTGAGAGAGCGATGTTGGAGAGAGTCTACGCGAACTTCCAAGAACGCATCCAGCACTGCATCAACGATTTCGGCCACCACGAGCCTGATGTGATTTTCCACACTTGACTGTCTCAAATGCTGTTTCCTTGTGAACCTGATTCCATCAATAAATTTGTTTTCGAGTAAAAATTAACTGTTTTATGATTTTTTAAAACCGTCCATCCTCTCTGTCGCACCCTGTATATGCAGCCGTAGGAATTTATCGCTTAAACCATCATCCTTATTAAATAGTACGCGACTTGACAGTCTTAGGAGCTTCTCTCAATCTTTACTGTCATTATTGGTATTCACAAAATTGCACACTCTGGCAACACGAAAGCTTTCGATCAGCTGTAGCATGCTGCCCACTTACGCAAACTTTCATCCTAAGACCTCCCAGAGAAGCTTTTTAGATGGATGGCTGACTTCCTCCCTGGCTGCCAGATATTCCTCGTGATTGACAGGCTTTCCTATTTATTCCACAACGTCAACGCGGGTGTTCCTCAGGGATCGGTCATGTATGCGACATTGTTTTCTTCTCCTTGGATTCTGAATCCAATGAAAGCGTACCCTAAGAAGAGGAACGATGTTTTTCACTTCACGCTTTACAAATTACCCAATTCGTCTCAGAGAAGTTTTGCAGAGGAGTGGCTGCCTTCCTTTCCAGCCATAAGATAACCGTTGTATTTGAAGATCCCTTATTCATCCAAGGTCTACGCGGATACATGGCTGCGAAATTGTTTTACATAGCAACGTCCTCCTTTCCTGTAGGATCAATCCGATCTCTGTCAGTGAGCTGGAGAGGAGGATACTAGCTGCGAC